AAATCTAACTGGGCTAGGCTTAGTAAATCAAGTGAGCCAAAATCAATTAAAAGACAAGTCAAACCCAGTTCGTTAAATCGACCCAACCCAAGCTCAAGGAATCCAAGAAGATTAAAGCACATGAGGAGCAATTACCGGGATACTCACTCACGAAGATCAATACAATCTTTAATTGTACTTACCTTTTGTAGCTATCCGAAGAATTAATACATTTACTCTCATGTCACCGCCTCAACTTAAGGCTTTGTGTCTATAAATTGTAAATTCTCTCCACATAAGAAGACATCTATCTCTATAGCTCTCTACACACCCCACACATAGTTTTCTCTTTCTTAGCTATTGTATCTATCTCGGGCCTAACCATTGTTCTCTCTCTCTCTCTTTCTCTCTCTCTCTCTCGTTCACCTTACTTAATCAATAAAAGGTCCCTCGGCCACCGTTGCCATTTTTCGGAGTGGAGTAGGTCACCCAGACCGAATATATTTGCGTGTTGACCCGATATTTATATTATTTTCATTGATTGCTCTATTAATTGTTCATTAATTACACTTTATCACACACTAGATTGTTGATCTTGCATAAGATTGTTTTGTGCATCATCAGTTTAGTGTCATCTATGGGAAACAATTAAGTTTTTTACTACCTTATCACTATCTTTCAAAAACATGGCAATCACAACCAAGTTGATTGAGTCAACAATCGGGAGACAACAACTCGGCCCCCCGGGAGGAGGCTCCACCTCCCCCCACACCCTCTAAACCATCCACTGCTATGACTCCCGTGGTCAGGCAACAACTTTTACAGATCATGTAGCTGCTGGTAAGCTAGAACCAGCAAATCATCCACTTGATGCTCCCTTCATGAGGCATCACCCCTCAACCTGTAGGAGGAGCACTACTTGCGCTAGAACGCCCCCGGGTAGTGCCAAGGCGCCCCTCGCTCGGAAGTCCCTCCTCAGCGGGCAGGAAGCTCACATATTCCCCTTCCTGATGTACTTGTGCAAGAGGACGAGGGAGAAAGCCAATATGTCAATCATGAAATCCATTACAATGACCCCACAGAGGATATCCCCAACCAATGAGACGAGAAGATCAGGGAAGTGCAAATCTAGGTCATTGATGCCCTCAACGTCATCAAAGCACAGCCGCTAAAGACGGTGGATTACTTGGTAAGACACACGAATACCTCGTTCGTTGCAAATGTTGTCAATTATCCCCTACCCTTGAAGTTCAAGATATCTGTTATCAAGATCTTCAACGGTACCAAAGACCCTCTAGACTACCTCGACACATATAAATCTCTCATGCAACTTCACAACGTGTCTGATGAGATCATGTGTAGAGTCTTCCCCACCACCTTGAAGGGGTATGCTCGACAATGGTTCACGAAGACCAAACCCTCTTCAATCCACTCATTCGCGGAGCGGAGCAAATCCTTTGTCTCCCACTTCATTGGGGGACACCGACATCAGAAGCCTGTTACTCACATGTTCACCATCAAATAGGACCAGGATGAAAGCCTTGGGAGCTACCTCACTCATTTCAATGAGGAGGCTCTCCAGATCAAAGAGCCAAACAATAAGGTAACCATGACCATCTTTATTGCTGGTTTGCACTCCTCTAGTTTTATATTCTCCGTCCTTAAGAAGTCGCTCTCCAACATGCCCAAACTGCTGTCAAGGGCACAAAAGTACATAAACGCCGAGGACGTCAACAAAGTCCATCGAGGTGATTCCTCCCGAGGAGGAGAGAAAAGGAAGGACACCCGTGAAGATAAGAGGGAGGCGGAGAGCAAGAGATAGAGAACCGAGAAAGTCTCTCTCAAAGACTGTCTCGGTCTAGTACCCTAGAAAGAACGGTAACCCTTCATGTCACTCAACGCCTCAGTGAAGCACATCCTGTTCCAGATACAAGATGACCCCATGCTCCGTTGGTCAAGAAAAATGAAGTCCACCCCTAATCGTAGAAATTCAAGCAATTATTACCGTTTTCACCACGAGACTGATGACTGTTACGAGCTTAAGAGGCAGATCGAGGAGCTCATACAGCGTGGTCAACTGAGGTAGTACGTTGCTGGCAGAGGACAAGCCTTGCCACCTGGCCAGGACCAGGATGATAGAGAATGTCAGCAACCCCTCAGAGAAATTCAAATAATCTCCGAAGGGCTAGGAGGAGGAGATAACCCCAACTCTGCCAGGAAAAGCCCACACCAGGAAAGCCATGCAAGCAGGTAGAGTCGCATGACTCTCGCCCGACAAAGACACCCTAACATAGGGAAAAATAGATCATCATCTTCTTGGATAGGGATCTCGAGGGAATCCAGCTCCCTCACGATGATCCCCTCATTGTAACCATGATGGTAGCGAACTACTAGATTAAGAGAATTCTGGGCGACAGTGGTAGTTCAGGCGATATCCTGTTTGCACCAGCCTATGACAACCTGCACCTCGGCAGGGAGATATTGCAACCCATTAGGACACACCTTGTTGGATTATCGGGGGAAAAGGTTTATCCCTTGGGTTCCATCACCCTGTCAGTCACCACAGGGACAACGTCAAGAAGCTCTGTCATCATGGTGAACTTCATCGTACTGGACTGTCCTTCTGCCTACAACATCATACTTAGACGCCCCGCACTCAACACCCTAAGGGCAGTGTCGTCCACATATCATCTGGTTCTTCATTTTCCTACCCTTTGTGGGATTGGAGAAGTCAAAGGAAACCAAGTCGTCGCCAGAGAATGTTACGTGGCCTCTATGAAGACCAAGAGGCTATCTGAGTGGAAGTGCTCGACCCTAAGGATGATAGCACGTTGAAAGCAGGGAAACCTTAGCCCACCTATGGGATGCCGAACACCAGAAAAGGCATTATCAATGGTAGGTACAAGCTGGTGGATCTCATTTTATTCATCGTTTATTGTTTTAGTTGATTTACTGTGTTATCTATTATTTTATGAAATAAAACTCTGCGAAAATTATTGTGTCCAGAACTATCTTACTTTCGTTTCATAAAGATTGTAAACAACTTACAACAGTCACAACATAATCTAACAACAAGGTAGACAGAGAGATAAAAGTTGTCATATTCCCGACAATCACCCAATACCCCCAAGTCACTATCGTTAAGGCTCTCCATGTCACCATCTACCCCTGGTGCCTCATACGAGACAAAATCAGAGAAATTAATAGCATAAAAAGTTGTTAAGCTCTTCATAACCATCAATAAAGGCGTCTACAATGGCACTTTCAGCAACCTCACTCATCATCTTCATCTCAAATGAATGAGTCTCTGTCACGGCAACCCTCTCCCAAGCTATACATAGTTCAGCCTCAGCTCCGGCGGCACTTTTGCGGGACGCTAGCAGCTCTAACTCTACTCTCATGTAGAAAGTCACCTTATCAGTCCCCAGCTTCGTGCTCTCTCACAAGTCACCAAAAAGCTCAGCCTAATCCTACCTCTACTCTTAAGCAGGCAGCATATATCTCCAGCTTCGTGCTTTCTCGTGAGTCGTCAAAAGCTCGGCCTAATCCTGCCTCTACTCTCAAGTAGACAACCTATATCACCAGCTTCGCGCTCTCTCGCGAGTCACTAAAAGGTTCGGCCTAATCCTGCCTCTGTTCTTAAGCAAGTAACCTATGTCTCCAGCTTAGTGTCTCTCACGAGAGTCACCAAAAGCTTGGCTTTATTCTGTCTCTGCTCTCACGCAAGCAACCTCAATTTCCAACTTAGTGGTTCCTTCTCGAGTCACCACAAACTTAGCCTAATCCTATCTCTACTCTGAAGCAGCTTTGGTCTCCTAGAACTCGGTCTAACTTAGCCTGTGCTTACACACAATTAGCCTCATTCTCTAGAAGCTCGGCCTCGAGAGTTGTTGCTCTCTCATGAATCAACCTCAACTACAGCCTAGTGCCCAGGTATCTCTTCTGCTAAAGTTCTCGGCACTTTGTCGAGTTTGAGCGTCCTCAAAAGTACGAAAAAGCTGCAGCCATCTACAAAATATCTGAAAACCAGAATGTCATATGACCAAGCATACAGAAGAAAAGTATACCATGAAAAACCCCTCCATCGCGGTATTAATAATGCCCTCTGGACCTCAAGATCCGACCTCTCTGATATCCTTAGGAATGACAAACCTCAAAAGTTGCTCCTTGACTGAAGTCACGTCAAAGCATGAACACCGAGCCACTACTAGAAACATAACGGTTATGTGGAACTACAGTCCCCGTGAAAGACCGCACTAGAGTCTCAACTCCTATAATGGTACAAGGACTAGCTCAAGTACACACAGAGTCTACATCATCGACCTATCAACAAGGCGTCTGTAATTAGATACAAGGTTAGTATAAAGAACCAGCATTAAGAAAACATTAAAGAGAAAACACGATTGGAGAAAAGGAGTTCACCTCTTACCTAGTCGAAAATCATCATAGTCTCCCTCTTTGGAAAAACCCAAAATTCCAATCTGCCGCCCATGGATGCCTGATAGTTGCCTACCAGAGCCTAGCTTCCCATCATCGTCGGCTTTACTAATTTGTGTTTAAAATTCAAATTCAGAGAGAAAGAAGCATTTTTTGGGAAAATTTGATGCTAAACTGCCTTTGGCAGTATGTATGTCGTAGATCTAAAAAAAATACCCAAATTTATAAAATAATTTGTCTCAAACGAACAACCAAGCGCAAAGTTATGACCATTTAAAGTTTTGCCATTTTTTCATGATTTTCTGATACTTCGGCCGGCACCCCAGTGCATGTTCCTTTCTCCTGGATTTGCCAAAGCCTCCATGGTACTGGCCTTAGCGTTGCCTCCTGCTCCAAGGCGTTGTCTCCTACTGTAAGGCATCGCCTAGCCAGCGCCCAGTGCCACCGCCCTTTGCCCGTGCCAACCAGTGCCCAGCGACCAGTGCCTTAGGCACCGCCATCCAGCTCAGTGCTAGGGGCGCCGCCTGTCTACGAGTAGCCCAAGGTGTCGCCTGCTTCGCCGTCGTCTGTCTCGCCTAGGAAACCTCTAGCTACTGTAGTGTCATCCCTCGTGCCATGGATGCCGCCCTCTTGGCCTCCCATGACGTCGCCAACAATCTCATAGGCATCGTCCTCTTGGCCTCCTTTGCCTCCCCAATCATTCCAAGGTCCCTACCTTCTTCAACAACGCCTCTGTCTTCCCTATACTAGGCGTTGTCCAGCACAACGCAAAAAGAACCCCCTAATCCAGCTATGGGCATCGCCTTGACTGACTGTGGTTCCATCCAGGGTGCCTTCAATACTCTCCGCCACCTAATGTCCCCTTGTTCTCTACGCGCAACGTGGTAGCTTCGCCTAAGGAGCCTCTGGCGTCACCTAATGAGCTTCTGGGGTTGCCTGAGGATCCATCGCCCAAACAACTGTCATCGAAGTCGCCCATGCGACTCAGTTCAAGGACTCGCCAACGCCCCTCATCGCGATGCCTGGAGCCTTTCACCATTCCCTGGACGTCGCCGCTGCCATTAACGAGAACCTTAGCCAGAACAAGGCCTAATTCTCCTTCGTCTCTGAGTTGTTGTTCCACCTCGCTGCTTGCACTTGAATCGCTCCTCCCCCTTATCTGATGGGTTTTCACCTTGAACATCATTCATGAAGCTCATATTCGTCTATCTCTCACATTCTCTAGTGGAAGATTTGAAACTCTCAAGGAAAAGAGAAAAGTGGCTCAATAAGAATTGACCTCTTGAAGCCTTAGAAATTGTGCCCTAGGTGAAGGAGGGAGCCTTTAAATATGAAAAAGGATAAAGTCTACTCCAGAATGGTGATAGCACAGTGGATGCTCAGCTAAAACAGAAAAGTAAGACCAAAAGATGCCAACAGGGCAGGAAGCCGAGGGGATTACCACTGTGGAGAACAAGAAACCCTTTTGTCCACTCAAAGTGAAGTGCTCACTCATGCCCTCAATCACCTTGACACCGCAAGGACTTGGGGCATGTGGGACAAATAATGGGCCCAAATCTAACCAGGCTAGGCCAAGTAAATCAAGTGAGCCCAAATCAGCTAAAAGGCAAGTCAAACCCAGTTCGTCAAATTGACCTAGCCTAAGGTCTAAAGAATTCAAGAAGATTAAAGTACGTGAGGAGCAATTATCGGGATACTCACTATCGAAGATCAAGACAACCTTTAATTATATTTATCTTTTGTAGCTATCCGAAGAATTAGTACATTTACCCTCACATCATCGCCTCAACTTAAGGCTCTGTGCCTATAAATTGTAAGTTTTCTCTACATGAGAAAACATCTATCTCTACACCTCTCTACATACCCCACATAGTTTTTCTTTCTCCTAGCTATTGTATTCCTCCTGGGGCTAACCATTGTTTTCTCTCTCGTTCACCTTACTTAATTAATAAAAGGTCCCTCGACCACCGTTGCCGTTGCTGTTTTCGTTTTCCAGAGTGAAGTAGGTACCCCGGACTGAACCACTATATATCTGCGTGTTGATTCGATATTTACATTATTGTCATTGATTGCTCTATTAATTGTCCATTAATTACACTTTATCACACACTCAATTGTTAATATTGCATAAGACTATTTTGTACATCATCACCATGCTTTTGCTTATATAAAATACTGAAAAACTATAAACAACTTTTTTTTCTTACTGAAAAACTATGAAGAATCTTTTTTTCTTCTTCCTCTGTCTTACCATGTTTGATTTATAAATCTTTTATGTGTGATCTTTTTCTAAGTTTAGTAGATCATATAGGAAAAGTTATGCTCCTTACATTTATGGTTTTTTTTTATTTGATACAAGATATCCTGACTTGCACCGACTATTCTCTCGAGCTCAAAAGTTGGCCACCGTGATTTGAGTTGGGTTAGAGTATGCCCCTAAAGAGATAAAGGAGACTAACCCTTAATAAATGTAAAACAAATTGAACCTAAGATTCCTGTGTAATAAAAAATCACGTTCAACCAACAGACTACCCCCTAAGACTCACAATTTTTTTCAAATAGCAGCCACAATTAACTGAGGCAGGATTTTCTGATTGGAATTGGGTATTGTGTCAATCTTCTTATTATTTTATTTTCCACTACCCCCTAAGACTCACCATTTTTTTCAAATAGCAGCCACAATTAACTTGAGGCAAGGTTTTCTTATTGGAATTGGGTATTGTGCCAATCTTGTTATTATTTTATTTTTTCATGGGTTGCTGCAAAAGTCTTGATGGAAATAAGTGTTTTTAACTGGGGATGACTTAATTGCAATGTATACTAAAGGTAAATTTATGTTTTTCTATGAGATGAATAACATTATTCTTTACAAATGTATCTACAAAAAATATAACAAACACACAATCAACTTCAAAGTACATATGAGCGAGGGCATTTTCTTATATTTATAGTACTATTGCATAATATTTAATTTTTGAAATAGTTCACGTGCAACATACGTGTACACTAACTAATAACATTTAAATACATATAAATTAGAGTTAAGACTTCCTAAATTATGCACCCTGATTCCACGTTGCCCTCAAAAGACATTGCCGCCACTGTGGCGGCGCTGGATATAGGCCGCTAAGGTAATCGGGTCCTCAAATTTAAAATAATTTAATGTCCTTAAATGTCATTTTCAGTGTCCCTAAAAGTCTTTTAACTTATAATTTGTAACTTTTCATTTTTAAAGTTAAAATTGAGATTTTTTCTTTAATCTAAGGCCAAAACAAGAGAGCAGGTTGGAGTGTCTAACTATCAAAAATTAATCTTAATTATTCTTACGATGATAAATTCTCTTACTTTAACATAATTTTTCTCGATTAAATATGACTCTGTCCCCATACAATTTTCAACTGTGACTCATTTCTTCAATAATAATTTGACATACACAGATCCACACTCTCAAAAAAAAATATATATATATATGTTTTGCTAGACAAAACAAAGTTCCGATTCTTTTTTAATAAAAATAATATTAATTTGAACTAATTTGTTAATCTAATGAATCACAATTATTAGATTAATTGTGAGTCTCAATAACTACTGAGATTCACCATCAAACCAATGATTATAAATAATTACGTAAATAAATTAGATCTGTAAATTAAGTTCAAGTAAAATGACTTTCAATATATCCTCAACTTTATATTTGATTAATAGAAGAGTTATCATTCAAAAAAATTGAATACAAAAGTTATTTTCGTTGTAAAGCTGAGAGGGAAGGGGGGGAGGGAAGGTTCATGGATCAATTACTACTAGACTTGTCAATTGTGTCGAGTAAGGTGGGTTCATTTTGAATTTTAGTGGGTTGGTGTCAAAAAACGCTCCACACACACCTGATTCATATTAATTCGTATTTAACAAGTCGTTTTATATTAAGTTCATATTGTATAAGAATCGTGCATAATTTGTATAAAAACGAATCGTGTCATATATTTTTTTATTGACTTTATTTATACCTGATTCGTTTATTAATCGTGTCGTGTATGAACCATGTATAATTGGTACATAAATAAGTCGTGTAGTGTATTTCTTTTGATAGACTTTTACCTATACTCAATTCGTTTATTAATCATGTCTTGTTAAGTATATTCATTTATGAAACGGATAACTTAAAAAAATATTCAAACCCTCTAATTTGACGTAATATTCATGTTATATTAATAAATTGTTTCATATTTTGACAGCCCAAATTACTGCAACAAATAAAAGTCTATATATATCTCATTTTTTTCTCGTGGTTGTCACAAACCTTGGGCAACCAACAAGTGATGACAAACCAAAGGTCACCTAGGTTTTCAGAAACTTCGAACAATATATAAATAAATAAATATAAAAATATATATAAAAATGGTAGGTTGTACAAGTTTGACTTGATTTTGTACAAGTTTGTATAAAAATGGTAGGTTGTCACAAACCTTGTCCCGCTCAACGGTAGAGTCAAAAAAAATATGGATTTTAGGCTCCACATATAAAAAAAGGCCCAAATTTTAGAATTTAATAATAAAATATAGATCAAAGATCAAAACTTATTATAATTTAACTTAACAAAAAAATTCTTGAAAAATTAAATCAGCAAAATAAAATTTAAAATTTCTAAACAAGTCTAAAAAGTTGTTCAAGTTCGCCTCATTTTCCAAACGAACAAGCTCGAGCAGAGCTTAAAATAAGTCGAATCAGAGACGAGTTTAAACGAGTTTCCATACTAGCTGAACTTAAAACGAGCTGAATTTGATCCGAGCTCAAATAGCTTGAATTGTTTACCACCCCTAGTTGAGAGATTAAATTGGAACAATTAAAAATTCACGGACCAAATTAAAATTGAAGACAAAATTTAAAGACCAATTATAATATTTACCATAAAAAATATGCTTGCCATCATTCGTAGCATATTTGAAATACCATGGGATTGCTCAAATATTTAGTCATAACCAATGTTGTCTATGTGATTTTTACCCATCTTTTTTTTTTTTTTTCTGTTTTGTTTTCGTGGGCCCAGTTTGATCCGGGTTTAATACATTAACAAAGTAAAATCTATAGTTAAATTTGATTTATTTATATCAGGAGTCAATCTTGAACAAAAGTTTAACCAAACCGATACAACCCAGTTCACAACATGGTAAATGACATTAAAGAGGTCGAATATATGAAATCTCTAGGACTTAGTCAAGTTGGATCTTGCCCTTCGTGTTGATTTGCACTCGTAACATAGTTTGTTTTAAATTGTTGGATGTTTGTGTTTGATAAGGACGTGTTTGGCATCACTCTCTTTTTTATTTGTATTCATTGACCGGCATAAAAAGTAATGTTATTGACATATAGAAAATTGATTAAATTTACTAGGATAATGATGTGTCTACTAATAGAGTCGTAATGAAAAATTTTAACCATTACAGTCACATTAATACTATTTGATCATGTCATTGCCGCATTATTAGTCCAACAAATTAAGCTATTTTTTTAGTTTTCAATAGCATTATTCATAAATAAAAGGGATTACGATTCATTTTAATACTAGATTTTCTCGAAACATTCACCGTGTTTTGATCGGGGATCCGCTTGAATCTAGTGGATCCTTTTAAATTAATGACAACCAATCTAATAGAGCAATCTTTTGGGGCTGAACAATGAGAGATTTATTTGTTATGAATACCTTAACTCTGGCGTGGATAACTTGTCTTTGACCAAATTAAGAAGGGGATTAGTTGAGGTGTATATAAGTCGGACATCCTTGATCGTTGGACCCAAAAAAAAGAAGATAAATTGGAGGTGAGTCCCAATATTATCTAGGTCTAATTTCAATTTAATGAAGACAATCAATTAATTAAATCAGAATTATTGAATCTAATGGCAACAATAAATTATCAAAAAATCAGGCAAATATTATTTTTTGTTTTCAACATCCATCTTTTCCCAAAAATTGGAGAAGAAAAACCCAAACCAAACAAGTTTCTCTTGTTTTTTATAAATTTGAGATTAAATAACTGTTTTCAAAATTCCAACCAAACAGGCCCATAATATTTGAAAACCAACAGGAATGACTCTCAGTTTTTAGTATAAATATAAGCACGCATTGCCTTTGCCATTTCAAATAAAGAGAGATTAAGTTTGGTAGCCCATACTCAGAGTGCTCTTCTCCCTCAGGTATATTATCTTATATGCTACATACATGAGATTTTAGTCATACAGTTTTAATTAGCTTGTACACTCACATGAAAAAACCATGGAGTATTGTACTTCAACTCATGGTTCAAGGTTGCTATCGGCCATCTATTTGGAGGGCAATGAAACACAATGTTTGCAGCGTCGTAAAATGGTATTAGGTGACACATCTGAAACACTAGACAGTAGAAGAAGTTAGACTTAGGTCGTATTGTATCATCGAGAAATAGTATTAAATCACAATGAATCAGGCGATTACACCGGGTAGATTGAAATATCCCCTAATCAATCACGAGTCAAGTGAGTCGCTAAAGAGTGTCAGCCTACACATTGTGATTTGATAACGATGAATTGAACAACTAGACGGAGTCAAACAAAACACCTTTTAGTCAATCATGAGTCGAGTGAGACTCTTGGTTTACACAGAATATGACTCGTTATCATACCAAAAATAGTCAGAGTTGAATAAGACTAGACAGACTTGTATAAAAAAAAGTTGATTCTGTGAAACATGTTTCAACTACTTTTCATTTAATTTGAACAAAAAATCCTATTGATTTGCTTCATCTTGGCACTATATTATCACTGAAAATAGCACCATGCTTGTCATAATCTGTATATATAAGGAGCTAATTCTCGTAATTTCATGTAATCAGACAGGAAAGATGGTGAGTTCAAATGGGAAATTGGAGTCTCAAACATTTTCAGTGAAGAAACTTGATCATACAGTAGTCCTGCCGGCTGGGAAGACGTCGAAGGGCTTGTATTTCCTCTCCAACCTTGACCAGATCTTCCCTTATCCCATTGAGATTGTGTTTGCATTCAAAGGAGATGGGAAACAGACCGAAACGTCAGCCAAAGCTATCAAAGAAGCATTGGCTAAAACTTTGGTTGAGTATTATCCTCTTGCAGGTTGTCTTACCACAAGCTGGGATGGGAAGATGATGAGCAGATGCACCGGCGAAGGCGTGCCATTTGTCGAGGCGGTTTCCGATAACGACATGGAAGTGTTGGGGGATATCACCATCATTGATCCTGTGAAGCTGCGAAAACTTGTTCATTTCAAGGAGGACGTTGAAGATATCATAGACATACCACCACTGACAGTGCAGGTAGGTGTTAGACATCTAACACTTTCTCTCTTTTTTTTTTTTGTCTTTTTTCTTTGACACAGGTTTTTTAAACCCATCTGGGAAGGGAAGGATTTATTGTTGTAGTATCTCTAGGTTGTAAATCTGAAGCTCTAGTTGATCCGATGCTCATAGCTTGTGAGTGACAACGAGTATTTAGAGGTATTAAAGACGGATATTTTGTCAAAATCGACGTATTTGTATATATTTTATTGAATACGATATTCGTCGAATATTTAAAAATATATATCAAATACAGGGCAGAGTTAACTGTGGGCCAGGAGGGGCACTTGCTCACCTTGGGAAAGAAAAATTTATTAACTACAATTTTTTTTGATTTTTTGGTTTAAGTACTCAGCTCAGGTTTGCAGCTGTGCCCACCCAGAAACCCACCCAGGAAAAAAAAACACTGAGTTTGGCCCATAAAAAATCAACTGTGCCCACCGCCCCGCCCAATACATAAATAATTAAGGCTGACCCACCCATATAAACCTTTCCTCTTATCTCCTTTCTCTCTCTCTCTCTCTCTCAACAACAGCCTTTTTTTATTCCTCTCCCCTTTTACCGTATGAGCAATACTATTAGAATATAATTTGGGGTATAATGTGTTATCCCCAATAAATTTATATCGGAGATAACTCATTATGTCCCAAAATTATATCTTATATCTTTAGTGTTTACCATAGGCTTTTTCTGCCATGGCCCATGAATGTATTGAACCTTATCACTGGCTTTTCCCAGACAGAGTACCCACTCCCACCCATGCACAACACACGCACACACACACGCACACGCACACACAAAGAGGACATAGTTACACTACACAGCCCACAACACGCATATGACATATTTTTTTTATTTTTTATGCATTTAACCCTAATGGGATTATTTGTGCATTTTGCGCTACTTAATCTATTTTTTGTGCATTTTAATCCTAATTATTTTCTGAATTTGTGATAATTTAGGTATTATATAAGATTTAAAAAATGTATGCGTCTTTTACTTTAATTCTTAGGGAGCCAAAAATTAAAACTTGTAGTTAGTGCCCACGCACACATTATATGTATTCGATAATTAATAAAATAAGTGAATATTTCACAGATATCTATAATAATAAGATAGGACAAATTTGAATCTTTTTTCACTTTAATTTAAATTTATTTAGAAAAGCACAAGGACGGTTCAGATTCATTCTAATTTTAATTCAATGACTTAAATTTCATTTTCAACTTAATCCAAGGCTCACATTTCATCTCACACAAACAAAAATCCCGCCCAAATCAAACCCACTCCCTACACACTATCCCCTCTACAGCTACTCTCCTGTTCACCAGTCACTTCGTCTGCCATGGCTCATGGCTCAGCATAGCGGCAGAGGAAGTGATACCCAGACCTTTACACTGCTACCCACACCTCTCTCACTCCTCTGTCATGGCTCAGCGGCAGCACACAGTGGCAACACCAGCGTTCTCAGCCCAGGTAACTCCCTCTCCCCCTCTCTTTCGCTCAGCATTCTCAGCCCAAGCTCATCATTTTGAAGCTTTGGGTTATCAGAGATCTTTTTTTTTTTAATTTCCTGAACATTTTCTTCCATCTGCTATTCACGAAGCACTGATATGGGCTTGTTTCTTTTAGATATATATGAGTGAAAGTGCTTTCTAATTTTTAATTGTTTCTTTCATTGATATGAGTTTCTTTCTTTCATTCATTATCCACAAATTAATTTTTGTTGCCGCTTTGGCTTAATTTTTGTTTCTTTCTTTCATTCATTATTCGTGTTTATTGATATGGGTTTCTTTCATTCATAAACAAATTAAACATTTGTTTATTCTGGCATCAACACGTATCCACTGGTGTGAAGAACAGAAGCTCCAACATGCCACACTCTCGAATTTGTTATGTAAATTTTGATTATGCTTTCGAATTTGTATAAGTTTGTTACTTTGTAGTCAAAGGTTCCATTTTGCTAACATTATTTATTTGTGACTGTTTGAATTTGTTTCGTTTGAACCTTTTTATGTTAATGCAAAGTCATGGTGTAGTATTGTTTTTCTAATTCTGTTTGATAAATGGTGATTAGAAATCTTGAATTTCCTGTTCATAGAATCCAATCATAAAATTATTATTTGTGTCCATGTTCTTGAGCATTTTTAGGCACTTTTAAGAACCAATTGAAAGATTTTATAATTGAATCATAAAATCAAACAATTGTAATCTAACATTTTTTTCTATTTTCGGTCTTAGAATCGGCATCTATACTAATAAGATAGAATCCAATTTGAATCCATTTTTACTTCAAAATTTAATCTAATTTTAATTTATTTAGGAAAGCACAAGGACGGCTCAGATTTAATCTACTTTTAATTTAATGGCCTAGATTTCATCTCAATTCTTCCAATTTAATCCAAAGGCTCACATTTCATCTCAAAATCCCGCCCGAATCAAACCCACCCCCTACACGCTACCCCTCCTGCAGCTACTCTCTGCCTCCCGCCCAAACCCAATTACTTCCTCTCAAACCCAGTCACTTCCTCTGCCATGGCTCATGGCTCATGGCTCAACACTACCCAGAAACCTTACACTGCTACCCACACCCCTCTCACTCCTCTGCCATGGCTCAGCAGCACACAGCAGTGGCTCACCAAGTTCAGCCCAGGTACCTCCCTCTCCCCCTCTCTTTCGTTGTGATTCCTCTGCCATGGCTCATGAACACAAAAGCCAAGCAGTGTTAAAAGCCAAACAGTGTTAATAAATGAAATTGGAAAAAATGTGTTGGCACAAACCAATTACCTTCCAGTTACAGCAGTATCACTCGAACCCATCATTTGAACCTTTGATGTTTGGAGCTCTTTGGGAAATTTCATTGAAGTTATAGTAGTTGTGGTTCATTGAACCCTCAAACACTGTGTCGAACTGAATTCACAACATTCGCATCAAACCACTGTGTCAAATCGAATTCCCAAAATTCACATCAAACCAAAACTAATGGCTAATGGAGACCCACTTCGGTGTGGGGGTGTGTGTTGGTGGTGGGTGGGTGTGTGGCAGTGTGGGTGATCGTATGCCGATTAGTGTTTGTGGTTGATTTCGTGAAGTGGCCGTTAGGGTGTGACTGGACAGAGAGGGAGAGAATTGGGGCGATTATGGTGTGGCTGTGAATGGCTTCCGCCGACAAAAAAGAGGGAGGAAACATGGGAGAGCCGCTACAAAACCCATTGGTGAGCCATGTCGGCTTTTCGACTCTTCGGCTTTTCATCACAACCCACGTCGGCTGTACTCCTCACAACCCAATAGCAACCATAGCCATAGCCATTGCCACCGTCACCACCCCTCGACAAACCCTATCCTCTCTCAAACCCTTTTTTGTCTTCCCCATAACCCTCTCTTCAAGACCTCTTCCAAAACAGGAGGTGGCGGCAAAAGAAGAGAAGCAGAGCAAGAGAGGAGGGAGACATTTGAAAAAAAAAAGGAGGAGGGATGAAGGAAGGCCGAACCCACATCATTCCTAGGCCTCCCCAAATGTGCAAGTCTTTACACGAAACTTATTCGATCTCAACTGATTCGGGTTGTAAATGGGTTAATCTTTTGTGAGATTTTGCGATTCTTTTGTGAAATTTGATGATAGTTTGAAATGGTTTTTTGGAATGAGTTATCATTTTTTTGATAACTGATTCAGGAACCCGAATCAGTTGAGATCATAGTTTGAAATGGGTTATCATTTTTTTTGGAATGGGTTATCATTTTTCATTACCTATGGAATGGGTTATCATAGTTTGAAATGTTTGAAATGGTTTTTTGTGAAATTGATTCAGGAATGGGTTATCAGAGATCTTTTTTTGATGATCTTTTGGTTTTGTTCTAGAGTGTATTGTGTTTTCAATATTGCAAAATACTTTTTTCCTAGCCCATTAAAGTAGCCGGCAAAGATTGGGAAAGCTATAAAAGAAAAGTGTTGGCCATTCATAGAATATTTGGTTTTTTTACGATGGGTGTTTAATTTGTGTTCTCACTCTATCTCTCTCTCTCTCTCTTTTACAGCAGTAGCACACACACACACAACAACACACAAACACACACACATTTGCTCACAAACACACACATTTAAATTGGGTGTCTTTTAATTTGGCTATTTTTATTAAAAGGTTTATAGTTATGATGAAATAGGTTTATAGTTATGATGAAATAAGTTTTTTTATTATGAATGTTAGGATGGAATGGATGTTGAGTTGGTTATTATTGATCAGTGTTCTTATATAATTCATCTTAAGTCTTCTTATAAAATAATCAATACAAAGAATATTTAAAGTCGATGACAGCTTCAATTTTTGAATGTTTGTGTTTAATTTGAGTGTTTTAAATTTGACTTTTTTTACAATAGGTGTTTAATTTGTGTTCTCTCTCTCTCTCTCACAGCAGTAGCACACCCACACAAAACACACACACATTTGCACACAAACACACATTTAAATTGGGTGTTTAATTGGATGTTTTTATTTTTATTATGAAATAGGTTTATAGTTATGATGAAGTAGGTTTTTTTATTATGAATATTAGGATGGAATAGATGTTGAGTTAGTTATTATTGTGTATTCTTATCTATTTCATTATAAGTCTTCTTATAAAATAATCAATACAAAGAATATTTAAAGTCAAAGACAGCTTCAGTTTTTGAATATTTGTGTTTAATTTGAGTGTTTTAAATTTGACTTTTTTTACAGTGGGTGTTTAATTTGTATTCTCACTCTATCTCTCTTTCACAGCAGTAGTACACACACACAACACACACACACACACACATTTAAATTGAGTGTCTTTTAATTGAGTGTTTAATTGGAAGTCTTTTTTTTTTATTTAGTTACAAGTGTTAGGTTGTTTTTTTTTAATTGGGTGTCTTTGAATTTGGCTTTTTTTATTTTTATTTTTACTATAAAATAGGTTTATAGTTATGATGAAATAGGTTTTTTTATTATGAATGTTAGGATGGAATGCATGTTGAGTTGGTTATTATGTAGTGTTCATTTTGTGAAATTTATAGACTAATTTAGGTTGTCTTTTTCCTTAATTTTGGTTTTAGGAATTGGATGTGTATGTATTATGTTTGATTAAATGCAGGTTAATTGTATGAAATTTCATTGTAATTGATGTTAATTATACATAGCTTATGAAAATCACTATGTAGCTACAACAGTTTCAACTGCACAATCATCGACTAATGGATGATGTCGTTATATTTGGCAGTGTAAGTTTATAATCTGATTAACTCTTTCTAAACATATCTTATTGATTTTTTTAATAACTTATTTATTTTAATATATTTTTATTAATGTCCTGACAGATGGATGACGACTTAGAAAATACCGTATGATAAGTTTTTCTTACTCATCATTTTCTTACTTTGTATCTAATTTTTTTACCCGCTTATTTACTATTCAATATTTTTTTGGTCTACAGGTTCGAAAACTTCGTCATAATAATGTAGGAGTGGTAATTCACAATAAGTATGAACTAGATTGTCTCCGTATACGTGAGGTAGTGTATTCTCACACCTATTTCTCATTCAAATTTTTTTGTTTGGCTTTTAAGTAGCATTTTCTTACACAGAAGGAGAAAAAAAGGTCTAATGCTTTGGCGAATGCCAAATTTAAGGGGAAAGAAAAAGCAACCGCTTCTAGCCAAGGAACAAAAAATCAAGATTGCCAACTGGTATCACTTTTAATCCTATTCTTTTCTCTGTATTTTTACAATCGATTTGGATGTTATTGAATTTAAAAAATTTTAAGTTTCGTTTTATGTAGAACGTTTGATTTGTCAACATGTTTTTGGTTTGTCTCATTTAATATTAATTTTTTTTAATCGAGTTATTCTGTGTATATAATTGAATTACTGGGAAAATATGATTTTTTGTTTTTTTTACCAGTTTTGTAGTTGAGAGTTTTAGTTTCTTAATCTTAATGTTGATTTGTAGTTTTTATGCTTTTGAATCGTTTGTTGGGTCCCATTTTTTAAAACTCTAAATTTGTTTGAATATTCCATAATTTGAAGCATCAATCAATAATAAAATCTCAACCTTTTCCAGTAGTTTGAAGCATATTTTCATCTTATATATAGCATACCTTTCAAGCTGTTAAATTCAATATGCTATTGATCGAGCATATTACTATAGAACATGTTACTCTATAATCTGATATTGCATTTTTTGCCATCTGTCCAGTAATTAGTAAACAATGCGTTGGATGAAACTGTGGCTATGATATTTTATTTTTGCATCAAACAAAAATTTTATTTTAATTATAATGTTGATAAATACTATAGAACATGTTACTGTATAATATGATATTGCATTTTTGCCATATGTCCAGTAATTAGTAAACAATGTGTTGGATACAACTGTGTCTATGGTGTTTTATTTTTGTATCAAACAAAAACTTTATTATAATTATAGTGTTGATAAATGGTTTGGTAGATAGTTCTGTTAATGCAACATTGTTACATAATAAGAGTTTAGTAAATCTTTTGATCCGTATTACTGTTAGCATTGTAGCACTATGATTTGTCATGTTACCTCGCGTTGTTATATATACAAAGTTGAAAACGATACGATATACATTAAATCAATAAAATAATAATTATTTTTTTATGAGTTTGTGGTTTAGGCACCAAACTATAATGTTATATCAAAATCAACATTGCCGCAATGTGCAAGGCTTGCTCCAGAAATGCGTTATGCTGGGAAAGAAAATGAGTGCTCCAAACGTCAATTGGGACAACTTGCACGTCACGAAATAGAGCAACCAAAACATTGTGCCCCCGTTCAGCCTAGATTTTTTCCTTCTTTACCACCAAGTCGTCGTCGCCGAGCATGCCTAGAACGAGAATCAAATAAAAGGTCCCGCCTTCAACCAATAACTTTGTCTACCAAAATTTTCAATCCTGTAAGAGACAGTATAGTGACAACAAATGTTTTAGAGTCATCGTCAACCACTTTGCTTCAAAATCTTAATGAAGACACTACAACAATTGTTTCACGGTGGTTGTCTGTGGCCATCATGAATCAAGAAAATCCTCCTCAAAATCTTGAAGAAGGCACACTAACAAATATCTCAATGGTGTCGCCTGTGACTATCATGCTCCAAGACTTGCCTGCTCAAAACCTAGACAAAAGCATAACAGTCTTGGAACCATTCTCCCCATGTTCCCCAGGGGCATCGGATATGACAAACATGTTCCAACAAATGCGCAATCCAAATGAAGGCACCAAGTGTTCGCTATAAGTTTTAATTTTTTATTCTCACTCTTGTTGTCTTATTCATGTTCTCCTTTTAAGTTTGTATTCAATTTATACAATCAAATTGTATGACATCTAAATTTTATCTGTAGTGCCTACACTGTAAAAGAAGGTGTCGCTATGGATGTTGCACTTAATTCTCGAAACCATAAAATTCTAGATCGTCATTTCCTCGGCTTGATGAATCGAACATGTCCTCATTGTTCTGCCTTACACTGGCTTGCTGAAAAATTAACAAAATCATCTATATCAAATCCTCTCTTTGGTAAATGTTGTTTACAAGGAAAGATCAGACTACCTCCACTTATTGCACCTCATTTAATGCTTAAAGCATTGTATGACAACAATGATGAACAATCAAAATCGTTTCGTCAGCACACACGAGAGTATAATGCAACTAATGCGTTTACGAGCCTTGGTGCTACTTTGGATGACAGATTAATTATTGGGAGGGGGCCTAGAATATTCACCATCCATGGAGAATTACGCCATCGAACAGGATCGCTTATGCCACAGCCAGGGTGTGAACCAATTTACTCTCAATTGTACATTTATGATCCTAATTCAGCTTTAGATGTTCGCAGTAACAGAAATCCTAACTTGAGAAGAGATGTTTTGAAAACCATCCAAGATTGTTTATTACAAGTAAATCCATTTCCTATGAAATTTCGACAGGCTCACACAATTTTAAGTGAATTGGAATTGACAGGGGTGAATTTATTGGCCTATCTTCACTACAGTTTTGTAATAGATAGGCGTCGATATAATCTCCCAACAATAGATGAGATAGCGGTAATATTACTGAGAGATGGAACTGAATCAAGTGGAATGAGAGATATTGTGTTACATTTGAGAGGAGATAATGGTTTGAAG